GGGCGGTGTCGAGTCGAGTGCGATGGCGAGGCGACCTTGGTGCAGGCGGTGACCCAACGCCATTTAAGACGATCGGGGTCCTCTGGTCCCCTCCGATGGATCCTCTGCAATATAAAAAGGCATGAGTTAGTATTTGTTAAAAATTCTGTGCACCTCCCTTGCGGTGAGGTTTCCATAACACCTGCAAAAAGAAGCGGCACAAAGGCCGACATTCTGGCATGACGAAGCCGACAACGACAACGGCACAAAGGCCCTCATATCGACATACAACACGAAGGCCCACACAACCACATACTGCACGAAGGCCAATTCACGAGAGTTTTACCTAGTGTTGCTTGGCGGAGTCAGGCGTCGTGGTCTGAGGTTGGGTTCTTCTCCGGGCGAGGTCGAGGCGCCGGAGTACTCCTCTCCCCTTCCCTTCTCTCTTCTCCGCTTCTCCTCCTCCTCCTCTCCTTCCTCTTCTTCTCCTTGTCCTCTCCTTTTCCTCTTCTTCTCCTTCTCTTCCCCTTCCTCCTTCTCCTCTTTTCCTTCTCTTCTTCCTCCTAATTCACCTCGCCTCACCGCCCTCGAACACCGGTGGCTGTGAGCCAGTGAGAGAGGTGGCCTCTCGGTAGCCCGGTGGGGACAGGCGGCCTGGCAGGGTCGCCGATGGGGGCAGCCAGGCAAGGAGGGGCAGCCACAGGGGGAGGGCGGCCCAGGCCATGAGGCGGCCCGCCGGTGGAGCCGAAATGGCCAGGGGTGAGGCGGCATTGTGGTGGTGGTGGTGGGAAGACGGGCAGAGGGCAGGCGTGGGCGGGGTGGGAGGCTGACGTCGGGGAGGGAGGCGGCGTGGGCGGATGGTGGTGGTGGTGATGACGTGACGTGGCGGAGGGGAGGGGTCTCCGTGTGGTAGCGGACCTCCGAGGATTTTTAATGCCGACCCAGTATTTTAGGTTTTGGGCCTTTTTAGAAGGCCCAAATCCAGGCCCTCAACAAAGATGTTTTATTTTTTAAAAAAATTCTTTTTAGAGTGCCCACTGCCCAATGACACTCAGCCAAAGAGGCGGTCTTTCTTAGAGGTGCCAAAGTAACACTCGACAAATTTTCAATTTTTTTTGTTTTTTGACCCCAAATTTTTTGTTGGGCCCCATACATTGTTCACAACTTCATGTTCAAATTTGGTGCTTTTCTAGTTTTTTTTGTTATATTTGGTTGATTAATTTGATTATGTTGAATTTTTATATATAATTTAAATTTGAGCTGCAAGTGCATGGAATATTGTAATCTAGTGCTTGAAAAATGTTATTCATGGTATTTGGTATATGTTGAGTCTCTATCCACGAACTTCGCATCAAATTTCGCCCATCTTCTTCACGTAACATAGCGAGCCACTTCTTAGGAAAAGTGTTTTAAAATTATATAAAGTCCATCTGAAGTCAAAAAATTACAAAACTTGTTGTGGTGTCATGTCATCGCATGTGTAAAATTTGTGGTAAAAATTAAGAATGTTTAAAGCAAGTTGACGTCGTAGGATGCATAAAACCGGATCCACATGTAACATGACACCTCGACAAGTTTAAACCCGGACTTCTTATGGATTATATAATTTTAAAACACTTTTCGACAAGTTTCGTCATGTTACGTGAAGAAGATGCTGTGAAATTTGATCTTAGTTCGTGGATAGAGACTCAACATACACCAAATACCATGAATAACATTTTCAAAGCACTAGATTATAATATTCTATGCACTTGCAGTTCAAATTTGAATTATATATAAAAATTCAACATAATCAAATTAATCAACCAAATATAACAAAAAAACTAGAAAAGCACCAAATTTGAACATGAAGTTGTAAACAATGTAGGCGGGCCCAACAAAAATTTGGGGTCAAAAAAAAAAATTGAAAATTTTCCGAGAAAAGCCGCCAAGCACTTGCTAGAAAGACTCGCTTTTTGAGAGTCTTTGGGCCAGAGCACTCGGCAAGAAAGAATTTTTAAAAAAAAATTTTCAAAAGCAGTTAAAAAGTCTTTCTTAGAGGGACTAATGGTGATGCCCTCGGTAAAGATTTTGGCGGGGGATGGGCGTCGTGTCGAGCGGTGTGTGCTTAGGGCCGGCCATTTGCGAGGTTAGCCCTCGGCAAAGAGTCTTTGCCGATGATTTGTTCTTTGCGAGAGTGCCCGAGCATTTTCCTCGGCAAATCCTCGGACCCTCGACAAAGATGCTCTGTGTCAGTAGTCTTGAACAGGACATTGATGAAGCAACTAACACCCTACTACTACTACTAGCAATAAGCAGCATGTTCGGTTGGCTGGTTCGTATCATTGCTGGTTCGTTTATGTGAGAGAAAAATACTGCTGACTGGTTCGTGTAAATAGTAGCCATATGAGGGGGCTGGCCAGCCAGCCCAGCCAGCCCCAGCCCAGTGATCAGGCAAGATAATCATAGGATATAGCGTTAGCGTGACTGATGAGTGATGATGGGCTGAAACTAGGCGAGTGCGGTTAAGCTAGTTTATTTGTTTGATGGTCTCCATAGATCGCAGACATAATATGTTTGCCAACTGTTTGATTCCATGCTTTAAAGTATAGTTACTAAATTTTAGATCACACAAACAAAGGCGTTGTTATTACTGCACTACTTCTTGATGATCTTTTCGATGAAGCGAATATCGTTTTTCTCTCACAACAAATCGGTATAAGTATCGCATATGCTAAATTTTAGCGAAACAAAAAGGACCATAAAAATTTTAGTCCCTAATTTTAGCCAACTGAACTTTTGAATTCAAACGGACCCTACGTTTGCCTGCCGTGCATGCTTTTGGCAGTTCGCGATGCATGCCTAGGAGGTCCATCCATCCAAGAGCAATAACTCTGCACACGTCGACGGCCGTCGTCCTGCCCGTCCGTCCAAGATCAATCAATCATTCATTCTCCGGTGAAGAGCAGAGTCACACAAACAAGGCAGCAGAAGCGAGAACGCTTCGCGAGGAAGCAACACACATCACACGCACATCATTAGCATTACAGATTTACAGTACAGTTTACAGAAGGAAGGGACGGATCGGAGGTGTATATGATGAACCTTAGAACCTAGCTAGAGTAGGCCAGCTAGCAAAGCTATGGAGCTAACAAGGCAGGCCAGGCCAGGCCAAGCGAAACGAACAGAACAAGACAGAAGCGACGAGACAGAGTTAGGATTAGGAGGGAGCAGGTCAGGTCCATCCAGGCCGCGTAGATATGGATGGATCATGGATGTGTATGGGCCGCGGTACCGCAAGCAAGCAAGCAACTAGTGGTGGCAAACAAGCAGGCGTGCACGCGAGTTGGCCCGTACCGTGGCGCCTTGCGCCTTGTCGCGGTGCTTGCTTTTGGCTTTGGGCGTCGTCGGCACGCGGAAACCGATGCCTTGGACGCATCACACGCGGCCATTTCAGCCCCCCCGCACCTCCTTGGACCCCTTGCGCTTGCGCCCATCGGACACGGCCAGCCATTCTCATCACCGCTCCACGCCGCCCCACCTGACCTGACCTCGGCTCCTTGCTTTGATTGCCCTCCGACCGCGACCGCGACCGCTGGCTTGTTCTTGTTCTCGTTCCCGCCCGCCACACCCTCACCCGCCTTGTCCTGCCCTGCCATGCCCTTGGACGGACGGACGGGGACGCATGGTATGGAGTATGGACGCACGCCACCAGCAGCAGCAAACAAACGGATACGAACGAACAAACGGAAGCGGACCCGTGGCTTGGATGCGTGTTGGTTCGGGCGCGGCGCGGCGACAAGCGGAAGCGGCTCTTGCTTTGGTTTGGACGGACAGCAGCTGCCAAGGCATCCTTTTGTTCTGGCGTCGCTCGCTTGGACCCGTAGCGCGGCGTGGATCAGCAGACAGCAGCAGGCGTCGTCTACCTCTCTACCCGGTGTCGCGACGCGGGACGCCTGCGTCTGCCTGGCGCCACTCGCCAAAGCGGTATGCTGCTGCCCGGTATGGTGTGGTGTGGGTGTGGCGTTCGCGCGCGATCTATTTTTGTTTTCTGTTTCCTATTCAATATTCATTCAAAACCGCCATCCGGTGTCCATGCTACTGCCGTTTTGCTAGCGAGTACTCTAGGATGAGTAGTAGTCCATGAAAAGGCGTGCCGACCAGATTAGCAATTATATTATCTATAACTGAACATTTTTACGCACTGCTTACGGCTGCAACAGGGATATATATATATATATATATATGATACTGGAATGGAACCTTGATTCTGGTGCGCCGCCGTATATGTATCAGTCGATGACGTAGCATCCATCCGTTGCCCCACCTGCCAGCCACCGGGCCCTTGCAGCTCCTCCAGGCTCCAGCACGGCAGCACCCAGCGGCGATCCTTTTCGGTGCCATTATCCACTGCACGAAGACGAATGGCATGGCAGCCACCCGCCCGTCCCAAGCCGACGTGAGATTCACGCTCGAATCAAAATCTACCAAAACAATACTCTGTTTACCTGATCATTGTAGGAGGGGGGCCTCTCAGCCAAAGATGACCCAAACAGGCATCAAAAACCGACCAGACAAGGCGCCGACCATGGATTATTGTTATCAGCACATGGATGACGAAGTGAACCCATACCCTGTAGCCTGTAGGCACACTGCGATATTTATGCTATCCTGTCGACTAACACTCAAACAAAGCCCCGAGGTAGCTCGAGACAGCACATAATCCAGACAACCGGGTAAGCGATATTTTATGAAACCCCGACCACATAATCCAAGAGTGAAGAGTCCACTTCATTCCACGATACTCCCATACTGTACAATCACGACACCACAGCAGAGTACTCTAAACGCGACGTGGAATTATGTCAAGGCTTTTCCTAGTGACTACATCCTCCGAGATCTTTAGTGTTCTACGGCATAATTTGCTTCATAACATGAGAGCCTTGCGGCTAAATCTCGGAGTTAGCAGAGCTAGCTAGTGAGCTATACAAAAGATGGCGCCAAGATCACCAAGGCGGTGACACATAAGCCAGCAAGTTCAGTTAGTTCAGAACTGGGTCCAGAGTATTTCCTCCATCACCCCAGACAAAGTGAAATATGTTTCGGCTTGCTCCTGCATTTACCATCTCGTTCTTGTTCTTTAACATCTTCTCTTGTGCAGGGATATCACCATCCTACAACATGGCGAAGGTTAGCTCTGGTTCACAGATGTGTTACAAGTATTTTACGGGACACAATAGCACTGCGACACAAAGGAGATGGAATGTACTACAGCCATTTTGTTCTGAACATGAGTAACAATTGTGACCTGTATAAATGGAAACAAAACATTTGGTAGGCAGAGGACTTACAAGTATCGAGTATGCCTTTGCCAGTAAGAAAGGGGTTGGATAGAGCTCTACAACAGCTTGTGCAGCTTCTTCTGTTACTTTTGGCACCTGCATCATATTTATATTCGTTCATGACAAATTTGCATTCAACTATGACATCGAACGAACCAGCTGATTAACTTTCATTAAGTACTGCCAAGTTACCTGCATAAGCTGAAGGGCAAATATGTCGCTCACTGTTTTCTTCTTAAGGTCACAACACTTTCTCTTAAACTCATCAAAGGTTGGGCAAACACGAGAAGTTTTACCAACAATCGAGAAATTTGCATCATAGTATGCTATTATTGAATGTGTAAGATCAATATATCTCTTCTGAGTATCAGCAAACCCAGTAGTTTTCTGAACATCAAATCCATCGAGAACCTCAGTGGTGAAACAGCTGAAAATAAATGGCAGAGCAATTAAAAAACCATACATCTTATGCCCCAAATATTATATTCCATAGTTAATAAATATAGACATCACATATTAGTGGGAAGAATAACAGTAACAAGGTGTAAACTAAGGGTTAAATGTATCACTGTCAGCATAATATATTTTTTTTTGATTCATACTGTCAGCATAATATTGATCGCTCAGGTGACTTGAGCAGTGTACATACGCTGTTGTAACCCTCTTTGGTGCACTGTTTAGATCACCTTCAACGAGATATATCAACTTCCTCAGCCCGCATTTCTACAAAGGAATAACAAATGAAACTATCGTGTCAAGCTGTGGCTAAAATAAACAATATATGCTAGAGGAACTTGGTAAGCTCTGGAAATCCATCAACATGGACAACAGACACAATGTCAGTGACAAGTTTTACAGTTTATAGATTCATGCTTAAGTCACCATACCCTTTGTCATGTCATTGCCAGGGAATGAGATACTTTATAGCCTTTAAATTCAAGATAACAAAAGAATAAAACATAACCTCTGTGAAAGGTTAGAATAGGGACATATTGGACTGGCCAATGACATCCTCACATCCAACCGGTGCAAAGTGCAACTCAAATTGGAGCACTCCTTATCAAATTCGACATTTCTTTAGGTTCAAAATGTATGACATTATAGTCTTTGAATGACAGCCACATATGGGATCATGGCACCAAACACACATGATCTTACACATCAATCTAATTGCAGCATAGGTAATTCACCAATAAACAGAACAGCAACAGCAACAGCAAAGCCTTTCAGTCCCACGAAAGTTGGGGTAGTCTAGAGATAAAACCCAACATGAGACACCAACAGAAAGGAAAATATATATATAAATAAAAGAATAAAAAGGAAATAATAATAGTATAAGTGTCATCAGCTGAAGGTACAAATAAGGAAAAGGAAGTGAAGGTTCAAGCCTTATAAGTTATAACAACAGCAGAAGCAAATGCAAGTTCAGAAGGCACCTGCATCCTGAATTTCTGATCTTTGTATCGGTTGTCTTCAATTGAGCCATCTAAATCCGTAACCTCTTTCCTTTCAACAATGAAATCAAAGAACATACTCTGTGTGATCTTCCTTATGACAGGCCATCCAAATACCATCTCCCACAGGTAACTGTCTAACCTGAATGGCAAGGTTCAAACTGAAGAATCAACACCACTTTCTCTGGCACATTACACAAACGAATCAATCAAGCATCAGACCTCAACCTTTATTATGTTAAAGAAGAACAAAAACTATATCCAAGAGGATAAATTCTAGACATTTATACAAAAAAAATTTAATCCAATGACTTGCAACACTGTCCACAATGTGACATTAGGCATTGATGCCACCTGCCACCTTGAGCACGAGGAAGCAAACACTGTAGGTTGCGAGCATGAGCAGTTGAAACAGACAAAAGTATCAACCAAGTTATCTTCTTATTCCTACCAAAATTTCACTGTATTTTATGTTATTTTCCCTTTTTTCATTTCTAATAGTTTTTTAATATTTTTTCAGGTAGTTTGTTAGTAGTCAAAGATCCTTGACTGAAGGAATTAGGACTCCAATGGCATATTTTGAAACAAACTATGTAATAGAAGCATAAACATGAAAGCGGGAAAATGTAGTGGCAAATGAAATTGCGTGTCAAGCTCTGGGCTCTAGGTTTGGCATCATATATGAGATATCCATAATCAGTATAACTATGCCCCCATTTTCATATCTACAGCAGAGAGAAAGTAGGACATGATATAGAAGAGTGTGCAAACTCTGATCCCAACTAACCTCTACCTCAAAATGGCTCTGTGAACGAATGTTATCAGCAACTTTTCTTGAATGAGACCTGCACAAACAGATAACAAACATGAGAACCCGATTCCACGCAAAGCAAACACATTAAATTCCAATGATGACACATCCAACTACACAAATAAAATACATGAGAACCAATTCCATGCAGAGAAAATATACTGAATTCCAACAAAAAAACAATGCAGAGCAGTCATAACAAGATTATTTAAAAAAAAATAACAAAAAATCATTTTCTCCCTCTAATAATCTATGAACCTATGGAAATCAAGTCATATATTACAGTTCCGTACAAAACGCTCCCTCCGTTCCAAATTATAAGACGTTTTGGCTTTTCTAGATTCATGACTTTTGCTATGCACTTACTCCGTAGATATACACTATGTCTAGATGCGTAGTAAAAGCAATTGTATCTAGAAAAGCCAAAACGTCTTATAATTTGGAACGGAGGGAGTAGAATGGTAAATCAGACCAGTCATAACCAATGAAACTTGTACCAAGGTTACAAACATTGCATAAGGTAATCTTCCTCATGATAATTTGAACAAATTATGGAAAATGAACAGCAGAGGGCCATTTTTCTTTTAATATTATGAATTGAATGAGATATCCCACCTAAAGATCAAAGATAACTACAAATATACAAAAATAGATACAAAATTTCTTTGTGAGAGTAGGATATGATGATACAGACCCGAATTTTTCACGATCATCCAATATTAAAATAACTTCATAAGCTTCAAGAAAGTTTTCCTTGGCTCGACGAGGTGGCATAGCTAGTTTAGCACAACCCTAGCAGGAGCAGATGCAGAATAATAGTATATTTAAGGAAAAAGAATGTTTCTTGAGAAAGTTTCTCCATCAAAAGTCAAGCATACCATTGCAGAAGATTGCAGCTTGGGTGTTCCTTGGAATGGAAGAGGAATATCTGGCAGTCCGCAATTAGTAACAGGCTCCTTGCCTGCATTAAAGTATAGGAATCAACCAGGAAGACTGGAAGGGAATGACACTAATGTTTCGATATTTTTGTACAATCTAAATAGGAAACGTAGTGATATCCATAGAACAGGATTGCATGTTTCAGTTTTGGTAGAACCCCTTTCGGTAAATTTTTTTAGAACACACAACTGGTAGCCAGAATAAATTATAGAGCAGTTTGAACAAAAAAGTAAGCATAATTCTACGAGAATTTATCAATATGAACAGAAAAGCAATTGAAACCTTTTAGGGGAATGTTCTTTCCACATGGCTCTTCTGAATCTGAATCGCAGCAAATGATTCCTTCGTAATTCTACACATGATAGAGAAACCATGAGTTACGAATGTATCATAGATCTACAATTATGGAAAAATATGCCAAGAAATTGAAATACTGGCTGAAATTATATCAACTGTGTGTAAACAGTATATTTAAATTACTAGTGCAAGTAAATCTACAGTCACATATTCGATGAGGGGTATCATTTTATTATAAGAAGGAATTGTAATTAAGAAAGAAAGAAAGTTAGAAAACCACCTTATAAAGTGTAAAAGGTTTAATCTCAGGGAATACGTATAGCTCGCATGGACAAAAAGGATTTTAAAGAATCGAAATTATTTCCTTGTCAGGTGTCACATTATTGTTGTAGCTACAATATTCTGCCGGAGCATGTAAGTATGTAGACTAAACTAAATATATGAAAAACTACATGCTTTGAAGTAATGTTTTGATAGTTAAACATCGCTCTACTATTGATGTTTGAAAACTGAAAAGTACTTTTGTTTGTGTCAGACCAGGACCAAGACAGAAGGCTAGAACATAAAAACTGAAAACTTCATCAAATAATAACCGAAGAAGACTATCAGAGCACACCTTTATGTCTTTCATCATACCTAAACATACAGAAGAATCTGTGAAATGGTCTGTGTATGTATCTTATTGTTAGCACGGAAAACAAAAGCAGTTTTGAAAAAAGGTAGTCCTTACAGTAGTTTGAACTTGACGGTAGCAACTGCTCTTCTTTTTTGTCAGAGAACTGCCGCTGACAAGCTCAGGACTGTGCCTGGAAACAGAAGGATTCATAGCAGATGTGTTGTGAGAATCTTCTAATCGAGACCATGAAAGACATTCACGTGCAGTGCCTTCCCCTTCTCGAGTTAGCATATACCTACAAAACTAACCTAGTCAGCTCCAACCGATGTTTAGAATCTCAAAAGAATGTGGATGCCTTATAACAAAAACCAAAGTAGATACATAATGTGCATAGTTGAAAGTTGCATATGATAAAAAGTGGACACAAAATAAAAGACCATTGTACCAGAGGAGATAACTAAATACCAAGATGGATCAGAATGGGATCCAGTTTGTATATGAAAAAGATGGTAGATCTAAGAATCATGTTGGTGTTGCATCTATTGCGGTCTTTACAGGTCCACTAACCCATGATAGAGTTAATGTTATACTGTAGTTAACCTTAAATAAAATCTTCCAATACCATTTGCAGAAGGAAAGAGATCATTAGGCTTCCAAATGCCCACAGCAAAATCTAATATGAAATGGCCAATTTATCTGCTAGTATACAAAATCACTTTATTGTGTTAGCATATTGAGTTTCCTCCTCCTAACAAATAAGAAAAAATATTGATGTGATAATGTCTCTAGCCCTTGGGAGAAAATCTGGTGGATTCTTTAAAGATCGTTTTAACAATGTGTAATGCTAGCATTGATGCCATCATGCTGTGTAATGCAGCAGCAAATTGCAGAGCCAAAAGATATACCTATGAAATTTGTACTTATAACAAGCTGTGGGGTTTGTTTCTCTAAATTTACTTATATCATGAGGGTTTATGTGTAACCTTTTGTACAGTCAAGTATTACTTTGCCAAAAAAAAATTAATAACTGTGGAATGAGTGTATAGGACGTGCACAAATGGAAAATGAGAATGTCGTGTATTACTTTGCTGGGTTACTCCACTTGGTGACAAATCCATTAGATAGCAGTGTCTTCATGCAGCTCCAACCAGTGTACCAGTCCTTCCCGTAACTCTGTTTTGCTTTACTTTTATTTGGACTGATTAAAATGAAAAGTAGCTACTTAGTAACATGTCAAACATAGCAGGAGTACCAAAACAGCAGGAAATCACTGAGACAGAGTACCCAATCGCGTCTCGTGACAGTCCACTGGCTTCAGCAGCATCAATAAGCTCTTGTTTCATCATAAAATATTTCCCGTTAGCCTTTGCCCTATAGGAAAATTCCATCGTTATATTATCTTAAATATTTTCTCGAAAACTTAGGTATCTTTCTCCTGCCCCTATGAATAAACATCAATATTCAACCTCCCTACTAAAAATATACGATATATACCTCAAAGAAATCATACCTAAGGAGTGTTATTAGTATGGCATAAGCAGCAGTGTTCTTCCTTGGCAAATAACTTTTTTCCCCTTTTTGGTTTCTTTCCTATAACAACAAATGACACAATTCAGAGAAAGAGGGTTTTCAAAGAACTCACAGTCAACCATAAAAATAGTGAAACATTACCTTTTGCAGGAGATAAATCCTGATTCGACTCTGCAAAAAAACTTTTCATATGTTGTATGAGCCATGGTCCCACACCCCTGACAACAATGGTAAAACATAATAAAAATACACTTTATGATGCAAAACTACATTGAAAAAATGCCTTATGATACAGCAAAATTCAGGCTTATTGTTCTAACGTAACACAAGGGATAAATAAAGCTCTCAGAAGTCAGACCCTCAGTTATAAGATAACACTAGGTTGAAAAAAGAAAATTCAAATTTAACAAGAAATGGTGGTTTCTGCCTTTCTGGTTTCTAACCGATCATGTTTGGGTGAGAAATCACAATGTAGATATAGCCGCCTAGCAGACCTTACATAGTAACTGAACATTGCAGGCTTAAATATGCGATGCTACATTCTGAGATTTAAAAACAACCAATGAGTTCCTGAGATGTTCAAGTCAAACAGAATTGGGGACAAGCCCTCACTTCCGATTAGCAAAATGAACACACCTACATCACTACATGCCAAAACTACAAACAAATTCACATGTCTAACAGTATACAGCTGTTAGTAACCGCGGATGTACCCCCAAATACCAATTAGCGAAATGAACATGTCTACACGGCAAATCACAAACCAATTCATTCGTCTTAATGTATTCAACCATTAGGAGTAAGCAGAAACGAGCCTTCAACCACAATTTTCTCTGTAATGTCAGCTCTAAATGAAACGTCCTCGCCAAAACAAGGCATCCGCTTGGCACGAAACAAAATCCATCAAACGGTAGCTTCAACTGGGGCATTTCAATACCATGAGAGAGAGGGAGGAGGGGGGCGGGGCTTTTCATGGAAAGGATTTCAGAAAAGTATATTTACTTGACGTTCGAGAAGTCCTTGAGGGTCCGGATTGGCTCCTTGGAGGAGCAGAGGCTGCGGTTGGCGTTGGCGAAGGCGAGGTAGTTGTTCGGCGAGAGCCCGTCCGGCTCCTGCATCATCGCCCGCCACTTCTCCAGGAAGAAGCGAGAGAGGGACTCATTCTCCGGGTTATGCACCTTGAGTTGCTTCGGCACCGGCAGCGCTTCCTTTGGTTTCTTCGGCGGCGGCCGCATCGTGATCGCTCGGGAATTGGTGCACGGCAGTGGAGGCGGATAGCTGGGTTGGGGATGCGGGAATCGGTGCGCGAAGCTAGGGTTTGGGATTTCGGAGCGTGAAGGAGGAGGAGCCCGCCATTGCGGTGATTCGAGGGGGTTTTGCAGTTTGCGGTCGGGTTTTGGAAGTTTTGATGACGATGATGAGCTTCTCAGACAAGGATCAAAGTTCATTCACTCCAACGCATCGCAGGCCAGGCCTAGTTGGGCTCACGCTTCAGGCCCAATGTTCAAACCCAACCCACCAGTACGAACCACCTAAGCCTCTTTTTATCAAAAACAAAAGAAAAAAATTCATTTCATCTCTCTAACTTCGCTGAAATCTGAATCGCGCCTCCTTCGATTGAGAAGTCAAATTTTTATTCTCTTTTATCTTTTATTAAAACTGTTCAATTTTACTCTCTATGCAGGGTTGAGAGCAGGTTTGACTAACATGATGCTACGTTAGCCACGAGAAAAATAAGTCAAACCATATTGATAGTTCAAGAAGGTCAAATATACTTTATCAAAAAAAAGCATAGAAAAAATCCAAATATTTTCTCTAGACTTAATTTAAAATCCTAGACTTAATTTAATCTTAAAAAAAGATTATATAAGACTTGCTTTAGCTCGAAAAAAGTATGAAACCAAATTTAGATTTTTTCCCCTAAAAGTATGCAATTTCTTATGTTGCCTAGTTTGTAATTATTTGAATCTTATATGGTCTTATTTTTTGTGTTGATTCACTAGTAGATATTCTTTTATCTATTATAGTTAGTCTATGTTGACGAAAATACTAATATGGGTCCAAGTGACTTTGAGTTCTATACTTAAGATCAGAAGGTGGATATGGCTGCAACCTTTATTTTGGTTTAGACAAGAAATGAACAATCTCTACTTTGATTAGTGATGGCTTTCGATAGGCCATGCCCACTAAGTCCCCATATCACAAAGAAACGACGTCCTTTATTGCAGACAGTGAATTTTGTTTCTTGTTTACAAACATGAAGATAAATTGTGCATGGTGAGCTTTGAAATAGATATTAGCACAAAATCAACACTTGTGAATGAGAATTAGGTGTAAAATAAATTTATAAAATGGTGCAAATAGGTTTGTTCCTTGTGGCCAAACATGCTTAACTAGGGTTTGAGTCATAGACTTAAGACAATGATGTGTCCGTTGACATCAAGACTTTTATAGTGACTTCATCAACCTTAAGATCTATGCTCATAGGGATGGATGTGCATGCGTGCGCTGATATATGTGAACGTCCATGCATATACAAGCGACACATGTGTTTATACTAAATACGATCAAGTATGAGATTGTCACGCGACACTTGCACTGGTGTGCAAGTCACTTGAACTACTATGCTGTCCGTTCCAATATTGTGGACTAATTATAACAGCTAAGAAGAGCATATGTTAGCAAATAGTAAACATCAAAAGGAGCACATGTAAGATTCAAATAACTCCAAGACATCATAATATAAAAGCATGGTCTTAAGACTGAATCTAAAATTGGTTTCATATTTTTCTAAGCTAGAACAAATCTTATATAAATTTTCTAAGACCCCGCTCGGACCTCTAGAATTGAATTGAAACATAATTATATTTTTTGAGCAGTATTTTGGCTCTGATTGGAACTACAAACAACAATTCCAATCAATTCTTATTAAGCTCGTCAGACCAAGGTAAGATTCATGGCTTGACAAGTGGAGTCTAATTCAATTTTGTTCTACTATTTACTCTCCCGCTGCACCATTCTTCAAAGCAGACTTGTTCCTCGTAAGTATTTGATGAACCACGGCACCATCGAAGGAGCACTATCCAAGCATGCCTACTCAAGTATGATGGAAAAGCAGATCAATTTAGGGGACCCAAATGAGCAGTAGATTAAATCGGATTTGAGATTTTTAATTGCATATTTTTTCAAGAAAAAAATAGATAAGTTATTGAAAAACTATATTTTTTGTTGATAAGTTAAAGATTACATGGCCCTCAAACTATCAATATAAGTCAATTTACGTCCCTGGTGACTGACGTGGCACCCTATCAGCCAAAATCGCTTTCAAAACTGTCGAGGGAGCAAAATCATATGATTGTTGGAGGTGGCTCAGGCTTCGACAAAAGTGGAGGAAATAGACTTTTTTCAAAGCAAAATGAAAAAAGAACTAAATAAAAGATATATAACAAAAGGAAAGAGCCATGTGCCACGTCTTATAAATACATAAATTAATAGATCACTTTAGTTCTGTCAAGTCAAACTGGTTCAACTTTAACCTAGTGTCGGATACTATAAGAAGGGGTACCCTAAGCAAAAACCGAAAATATTGCTTAAGCCTTACAAAAATCAGTAAAAATCAAAGCCAAAGGACAACCACGAGGTCTCGGCAAATTCTCCGACTCACCCAAGGCTTGCGCCGAGGCCTCAGACGAAAGGCCAAACCCCTCCGCCCCGCCGAGGCCCTCTCGCCGAGGCCCCCTCGCCGAGGCCCCGCCCCGCAATGCCTCGCATGGGATACCAATTCTCCGATTCGCCCGAGGCTGGGCTCGGCAACAACCTCGTCACCTCCGTCCCGACCGACTCCCCTGACAAAACGCCACGTCCAGTCAATACGCCCCACTACTCCCGCAATGTCAGCCACACGTTGGCACAGTACAGGCAGAATGACCGACGGGATAGGGGACCAGGCGCAGCAGGGGTTACCTACCACTGTGCTCATCACTGTGCCCCCTGCTGACACCCGTACTGCCCTGTGCTACCTAACTCCTGCGCCAAGGACAAAGTGGCGTGGAGGGTCAAGTCCGGGTCCCAATAGTCTCGGAATCAGCATAAAAGACCAACCGTTCGTCCTCCGCCTCGTCCGAGACCCCCTGGCAGGGCCTCGGACGTACTATTCCTTCTCCGCCTCGGCCGAGGCTGGCTCAAATCCCGCATCCTCGTCGCGCCTCCGCCTCGTCAAGAGACCCCGGCGAGGCTCTCGGACATATTATTCCTTCTCCGCCTCGGTGAGGCCGGGCTCAAATCCCGCATCCTCGTCGCCTCGCCTCAACCAATCCCCTGGCGGCGAGCCGTCACATCCGTTTAAATGCACTGGTCACACCTACTACATCAGCCACGGATCGACACGGACAAACAGCAGGCGATGGGACAGTGGTCAAATCTCCTTTTACCATCCCTCACTCGACGGTGCGGGGTTACTGGTGCCACTGTGGACACACGCTCCGCACTTTCCTCCACTGAACCCAGTGCACGCCGACCACCGAGACCCCGCATCATACACGAGTCACCGCCGAGGCCTCGGCAAAGCAGGCCTCGGCATGATCAGCTATAGCACCCACAAGGCCTCGGCACTCCACCAAGTCAAGAACACACAAGGCACGACATGTCTCCTACAGTGGAAGCCATACTGACTAGACGTCAACAAGGACTCCCACGACCTCAACAACCTCGTGCACAGCCAAGACGGCGGCGCCGATCAAGTACCAATCGCCATCCCCAACACCATCTTGCTCACACAGATGAACTACTGATGGGCTCCACGTATAGCTCACTCATGTACTCCTGGCTCCCTCCTTGTGGTTATAAAAGGAAGCAGCCAGGGATAGCTCGGGGGGGGCGGAAAAAAGGAGAAATAGGAAGAACACCTGGTAGCTCACAGACATACACATCCCAGCCGCCTGAGAGCAATGTCTCAAGCAGCCCACACGACACCTCGCCGAGACCTGGGACTAGCTCCCTCTCTCCCTGTGCTTGTAACCCCCTACTACTAGCACTTCGGTGCAAGGAATACAAGATCGATCTCTCAGACTGGACGTAGGGCATCGATTGCCTGAACCAGTATAAACCTTGTGTCTCTTTGCATCACCATCTGGGATTAGGGGCACGCAGTTCAAATTCACTAGTTGGTAGAGGACCCCCGGTCCAAAACACCGACAGTTGGCGCGCCAGGTAGGGGCCTCTGCGTGTCAGCTTCGTCATCCCAACAAGTTCTAGATGACAGACCCCGTACGACCGTTACGTCTCGGCACGGTGATCTGGTTTGGGGGCCTAGAGTTCATGTCTCTAGGGCATGAGTACGACATGGTACTCCTCACGCCTCGAGCCCCACCAACCGACGGCGATGTCACGCACCGGCAGCCCGGGCGGCCGCTCTCGTCGTGCTCACCAAGCACGATGCGAGCAAGACCACCCCAATGCTACTCGAATCCAAGACGGCACGCCACTCCCCGCCGACATCCTACGACCAGCTGTTGGCATAGGCTCCCTAGCTGGGGACCTGTCTAGCCTGAGTTTGGACGAAGGAAAAACGCCGGTGACAGATGGCGATGCCCAGTCACCAAGCTCCGCTCCACCACTCCCTGAAGAGCCAGTTTCGGCGGAGCAAAGTCCGGCGACGGCACCATCCTCCTACCCCTTTGGGTTGAGAAATGCTGCCACATCTTACGCCGCCGCTCACAAGGATCCCCCAGAACGTCGCCAGCGCTTCACTCTCGACCTGGGCACCCACGCTGACTCCTCGGAGGAGGACGAGGCATGGCCCGGAGTGGATTTCTCTGGACTCCACGACCCCGGGGCTATGCGTCGTTTTCTGGCCACAAGTGACTACTGCTTCGGCTACTCCGACTCCGACAACGAGGGCACCTACGACCCCGCTCGCGAGTGTTTCCACGTCGGGCTCAGGATGCCGAGGGCGGGCGAGGAAGACGAGGGGGCGGGTAGCCGTTCCCCGCTTCGCCCAGGTACAGGCGCCGCCACACCTCTACGCATTCTCCTACCGGCAGCACGGAACGAGAACCCTGCTCTTACACGACCTCAACGTCCAGACCTAGAACAACTCCGTGAGCTCCAGGCCAAGGTCGAACAGGACCGACTCCTTCTACAGCAGCTTCGAGACTCTCTCGAACAAGAGCAGTGAGGTCGCGGCGAAGGCAGAGGAGCCCGACGAAGGGCCCGCGATGTACATCATCGCATCCAC